AATATATAGTTCGATAGAGGAACAAACATTTCATTATTCTATACAAAAATAAAAAGTTTCAATGTCGGAATAAAAAACAGTCATCGAAAAATATTGCTTGAGAACTAGATTGGAAATTGGTGAGTAAGCAAACATTTTTCGACTGCTTTCGCGTATGTATAAAATTTTTGGACAAGCTGTACAGTGAAGAAAACAAAAAATTATATAGTACGATAGAGTAATCGATGCTCTATCAAACTATATACAAACAAGAAACATCTGAAGTATTATATAAATGCAGCAAACTAAACAAAACTATCGAGAATAATGTAATCAACTTATATATTGACTTAATTTACAACACTGTCTATTCAAAATATTCTCGATGGCAACTTACACATTAGATGAACCAGATGATGTCATTGCAACGGCTATGTTGAAAATGTTTTGAAGTTTATAAATTACTTTTTACTATCTGAAATCATAAATTTAGGCATAAAACCCACGAAATTTGCTATTCAACTCATACAAAATGAAAACTTCTTTGTTCACATGGTCCTATGTCATAGTTTTTTTTTTTGTAGTTCACGATCACAATTTGATGATTGATAACACGAAATGCACTTGGGAGAGAACTACATGTAGGAACACTTGTTTTGAAGATTCTTTTTCTTATCATTCGTAAAAGTAAAACGATGTAGAGAAATTTAGTACAATTTGTTTTTTGAGCAAAAGTCACGTTCCTGAGACCATCGTTGGTGAATGGTGACAAACATACGGCAATACCTTATTGGAACCCATAAAAACTTTTTATCAAGAATTTTTTACGGTCTCTCCCATTTTCAAAAAGCATAAAGCACGATAAACAGCGCTATCTGTATATACCGCCATTATTTAATCCAGAATCTTACATGTAATTGGAAAAGAATAATTTTTGTATTCATCAGGCGTGAAAATTTGGGTGTAGATGTGAGTGTCGTTTGAAAGAATCTCACACTCTGGAAATGATCTCTCATTTTTATAGAGTTTTCTAGTGATGAGGTCGGTGAACGGAATAGCTAGGTTTAGTATAGCAGATGCTAGATCTACATGTGGGACTCCAAAATTTTTTTCGCTCGGAGCTTCTAAACGTCATAATGTATGTCTGCTTATTCTATTATAATATATAGACATATTTAGAATTGTGTACAAAATTTCATTCCTTCAGGTCTTTTGAATCGTTGTATTTTCTCACTTCTTTCAGAGTAGTCGCATACCATTCTTCGATTCAAATTTGGACTCTATCAGTGCGAATCAGGATCCACAAAATATTCGATTTTTCACTCATTAATAGGGAGTGTCAGCTAGGCCGAAACTCTCTTAAGAAAGGCTAGTTTTATCCTATATCGGATTTTCTCATTGGTATAAAAACTTATACTTTCTTGTAAAATCATGGTGCGAAATTGTTCGAATGAGAGTTCAAATTCAGATCGAAAAATGGTGTGTAACTATCCTGAAAGAAATGAGAAAATATAATGATTCATAAGATCTGAAAAGCTGAAATTATGACTTTTAGGAGACGCAAGCGAAAAAATTTTGACGTGCCCTTTGTACAACTTTTTCATTAATCTGGGTTATCTCTCATGTTTAGTTTTGTATGATATTCTTTAAGAAAATTTAATTTAATCGATTTAGTGTACGCAATAGAAACTTTTAGTGGTAATTATTTCAGGAATCTTTTCTTTTTTTTAAGTTTAGCATATATCATGCTGACCGTCATTTTCTGTGTCTCATCAGCAGTTTTTTTACTTGAAAACAAGAAAAATGTTATCTATTTTACTCTCATATCTTTTATCATATTGACGCTGATATAAATATTGATATTGATGGTTACTTTCTGTTTCATATTTCTCTTTGTCTTATAGATATGAAAATGTTAGTTAACTATTTAGTTGCTTTTTTTCTATTATCGACTCTTCATTTAAATGTTGATGCTTTCAAATCGTATTCACAATATCAATTGTGGCGTTTACATGTTACAAATAATGAACAAGTCGCTAAATTACTTGATTTTAGTCGTATAGCATATCAATATAATATTAACTTTTGGTCTGAAGAATTTCGTACGAATATTCCGGTACATTTTACAAGTCAACAGTTTTAGTCATGATATTTATTTTTTTTTTTAAATTAGATTGATGTTAGTATAGCACCTGCATCTATCAATAGTTTTGCTGAGTTTTTATCATCAGATGATGTGAAAATAAAATATGATGTTATTATGAAAGATATTGGTTCTATAATTGAAAGACAAAAATTAATTCATAAATTTCAACCATCATTGGTAAATGCTGATGATTTTGCATATGATAAATATCATCCTATTGACGAAATTCATGCATGGATTGATAAAATGGTTCAAACATATCCTACATTAGCTACATCATTTACAGTTGGAAAATCATATGAAAAACGTAATATGAAAGGTTTAAAGATATCGTCGAATAAAACAGCAGTTAAACTTGATGGTACTTCAGTAAATAATAAAAAGGCTGTTTGGTGGGATGGAGGTAAACAATGAGTTAGTTTTATTCTATAAGAATTTTTTGAAAATATTTTTTCTTCAGGTATTCATGCTCGAGAATGGATTAGTCCTGCAACGAATATTTATATTGCTCATGCTCTTTTATCAAATTATAGTAAAGACCCGATAATTACGCATTTCGTAGACCAATTCGATTATTATATTTTACCCGTCTTTAATATTGACGGTTATGCATATACATGGACGAATGGTAAAGTAGAAAATCATAGAAACCTATGAAAACAAACCTTATTTTTAGATCGATTATGGCGTAAAACTCGAAGTAAAACATCAAAGCCTGGTTGTATTGGTGCTGATCCAAATCGTAATTGGGATTATCACTGGTGTGAAGGTAAATAGTTTTTATTTATTTATTTATTATTTATCCTATAATTTATTTTTATGATGTTTTTATAGGTGGTGCTTCACATGATCCATGTGATGATATTTTTTGTGGTAGTAAACCATTTTCAGAAATTGAAACTGCACAAGTATCAAGATTTATCAGTAGTTATAATGGTACATTTGTACATTATATTAACTTTCATTCCTATTCACAATTATGGATGTCACCATGGGGTAAATATTAATATTCAGAATGATTTTTGCTTAATTTTTCTTTCTCATTAGGCTATACAACAAAAAAACCAGTGCCATTTAAATTACAAGATGATGGATCAGCTAAAGCTGTTCAAGCACTTCGTGCAGTTTTTGGTAAGTATTAATTGCAAAGTTTTGATATAAAATAGTTTTTCTTCAAGGTACTGAATATGAGCATGGCAACATTGGTTCAACTATTTATATTGCATCGGGTAATACAGTCGATTGGACATTTGGCAAAGCTAATATAACATTTAGCTATGCTGTCGAACTTCGAGATACTGGTAAGCAGAATATCTTCTTGTTTTTTTTTTTTTTTTTCAAAACGAAAATATTGTTAAATTCTTGATAATTAGGTGAATATGGATTTTTGTTACCGGAAGATCAAATTGTTCCAACTGGAAAAGAAACATTAGCCGGTGAATTAGCTTTATTAAAATATATTGAAGAAAAAGTTTACAGTTAATGTTTACAAAATTAAAAAGCAACAACTAATTAGCTTTTTTTTCTCATAAATAAAAACTATTTATAAAATTTCATTGTTCATAATTGTGATAGAAATATTGATGTTCGATTACAAAGAAAAAAAATACTACAAATGATAGTGCCAGATCCATGAGAGTGATTAATGTCGTATTATAGATAAATATTTCTCTTTGATAATCAATATGGCAAAGTTCCTATCTTCATTTTTCTCATCCCTAAGCCATATGCAAATATGTTAAATCGTTATACTTTCTTCATTAAAACGAGCATCGTTTGAACTACACATTTGTATATTTATTCAATGTCACATACATCCATTTTTTGGTTGGAGTAAAAGAAAGACAAAAGAGAATTAGCATTGTATTGCATAGCATATAGTAATTCTTTACTAAAACATTAGTAATAATTACTTAACAAAGACGTAGAACTTTCTTTTTTTTTGTTTTTGAAAAGCATAAGATAATAATATATTCAATCATTTCAAGATAGATTAACAAACGAATAACGAAAATCTGATCGCTCTAGAAAATAAAATGCACAGCATGTTGGTGAGAACAAATCCAATGCCAGACTTTAGTCTCATCCTTAACAAATGAATAAACTTGAATGTCTCAGAATACAATGTTTCACAAAAACAAATATTTATTTCATTATTTCAAAGTTACAAATGTTCTGTTTTAGATTTTTCAAACTTATATCCAACCTAGAGAAAAATATTTCTGAAACAAACATATTTTCTTAATACAAAAATAAACTGTTTAAAAGGATATTTACAATAATATCATGCATAAGATATACACAAAATCTGTTCTAGACGATGTAAGAAACTGGAAATATTTGATTATTTGTGAAGCGAAAGGATATACTCTGCTACACACACTGACGATCGCTGATTGCTTATAAGAAAAAATCAGAATAACATACTCATGCGCCATTTATTTTAATGCTTCGTTTCATTTTTAATAATGTTTTTACAAAGAAAAAAACGAAAGAACATTTAAGACTTCCCAATATCTTTAACTATAATTCATTGCAAGCATTTGTTTGTCATCTAAAATTTAGTTAACGAAAAAAAAAGTCTTCAAAAAAAAAGCATCCAAATAGAGCTTCTCAACAATGTCAAATTTATAATGCGCATACGACTTTGTTTCTTCATTATTCTGTACGAGGATTATATTGCATAAACACTCTCTATCATTTACAAAGTTTGATCTTTTTCATAAAAAATAAATTCTTATCTTCAAAATGGTCGACGTAGAAAAACGATATGTTAGTAAACCATGGTATGTAATAACTAGGAAATAGAATCGTGTGTTATGTATATTATGGAACAAGGTTTTCTCATTGCTCTGCTTTTTTTATTATTAGGATAATGCATAATGAAACAACAAAGATCAAACATCGTTTGTATAATGCTCATTATCCTTCTGTTAAATCAGTTGATGAACATAGTGTAACAGCCAAACATCAATTATCTCGCCAATCTAAACGAGATGACGCTAATTTTTTTCCAGCATTAACAAGTGGTAGTTCGTCAGAATCAAGTTTAGTCAATAGCCATCAGGCATCATCAACAAACCATACGGAAACATCATCAACAACAATGGCATATAATTCAGCAGTACATGAAGCAGCCAAACGTTACATATTACGTAAGAATATGGTAAAATTTTCTCAAGCATTTCCATCATTACATTTAACGAATGGTTCTCATACAAAACAAAAATCACTTTATAAACATATTCAAGCAAAAATTAATACTGGTTTACCACGTATAAGTAGTAAAAATTCACTGAAATCTGATACTCATCAGTTAGAACCTATTCGTCCAGTAAATTGGCTTGAATTAAAAAATGAAATCGAACAAGATATACATATATATGCACATACAAAACGAATGCAGTTTAATTCTGACAATACATATAAAGCACAATTAACAATATTGGGAAATCTTGTACGTTCAAAAGTTAAATCTCATTTATCATCTTCAATAGGTAGTGGTGATCAACGATATAAAATTGTTGTTCATCTTACTGTTTATCAAAGAACGTCTTCTGGATTACATGTTGCATCCAGATGTTTATGGAATACATGTACAGATAATTCAATAACAATTAAAATGCAAGGTGTGGATTGTAATATTCTAATCGTTGTATTTCTTTGTTATACAGATCTTGGAGCGATATAAACTTAAAATCCTTTTTTTTCTCCTCTTGTTTGTATATGTTAAAGTCCTTTTTTAAAAGTCAATTCTGATATAAAATGAGTCAACCTAGCCTTGATGCTTAATGTATCAATACATTTGGCAAAAATTCAATTTTTTCAGAATTGATTTGTGAAACCTAACAACAAAATTTAAAAGCTGATTGAGTCATCAATTGTTATGTTTTTTTTTAAATTCCGATTACTAATATACACAAACATTTTAGTGAATAGGAGAAAAGAAATAACAAATAATATGAAAAGAAAAGATTTTATTTACTTGTTTACAATTCAAATAAAATTTGTCATATGCACTTAAAATATTGGTTATAGTCTTGTTGAATTCTATACTACATTTATATGTACAAATATTCTTATATTACTCATGAAACTGTTATAACAATAATCAATACAAATAGAGAACATTATCATAATTTTTATTATTATTATGACATTTACAATAGGAAAAATAAATCGATTTTTAACTGTAAAAAAAGATAATGATGAAATCAATATTTATTCATCTTTATGAATAGACATATTTATCAACACTACGTATTTTTTAGTAGTAACATGATCATATCATATCATATCATATTTCTGTCTATAGCTGTTTTCTTAATATTCAATATTCATATGATTATTTTTATCGTAGTATTACCAAGTGTGCATAAAAAAATTTTCGATTTTTTTAATATATTTGTATATTTAATATTCTTACATAAAATTTCATATATTATTATTTTATTTTGATACTTGATTGTCTACAATGAATACTCATTCAGCAAAAAAAAACCTTCTGCTTTTATTTATTTCGAAAAAAAAACAAATAACAAATCATATACGAGTTAGTGCTTCAATACCAAGTAATTCAAGACCTTCTTTGAGTGATAGACGGCACATATGATAAAGTAACAGGCGAGCCTATAAACATTCTCATAGACAAATAATTTTAAAAAATAGTATTAAAATTTACTTTAGCCAATTCAATTTCTTCATCTTGCACATAAAGTCTAGCAAGTGCTCGATTTATGGATTTCCTATAATAAGAAAAAACACTTTGAACATCGACCTTCCATTCTCTCTGCTTGATCTATGTGTATAGACTAATAGATGACATTTCTGTTTTCTTTTTCTTTCAAAGTACATTATGAATACAAACATATCTAAAACTTAGTTCTCAATAATTTTTTAAGATGAATGTCAACCAATATGTATCTAATGATGTACGTATATAGTAAAGCATAAGAAAAATAAAAAGAGGACAAACGATGGTTAACTTCAATAATAAAGTGTCATCAAGATTATCATAATTAATAATGTTTTTCTGTTTTTTGGTACAGATATCGATGTCTTGAAAGAAAAGCGCTAATGAAGAAAAGACAAGAAGAAATCTTTTCAACGCATAACGACGAAAAACGTGCATTATGCAAAGAAGATGAGATCACAATAATAATAATAACAACAACAACACCCATTAGCAGCAATAAACCAATGCGGTAGGCAGGAAAACAGACGGACAACAGCATAGCAAGACATTGCCAGATATAGGAAATATCATTCATCATGTCAGTCAATCGGTCCTCAGCGAAAAGAAAGACGAATAGAGAACAGAAAGACCTTGTTGTACGATATAAAAACCACCTAAGCTGTCTCTAGGTTTTCTTTTTCTTTTTTCTCTAAAAGCTGCGATTTCCTTAATTATTATCATTGGAATGTAGTGGCTTTTTTTCTTCTTCCTTCTGCTGTTGGTCCGTCTATAAGACTCTATTCCTCGCTCATATCATTTTTTTTATTATTTGTAGAATTCATCATTCATGGCATCATCAGACTCCGCTGGCGCTTCTGCTACTGTTTTACCAAATGATGCAGTTTCTGGTCGAATGGACGTAGTTTCACTTATTGTTCTTGTCTCTTATCCAAAACATTATCGTATATTTGCTGAAAAAGAGCTTGTCTATGAGATACTTCCACATGCAGCGGACTCATCATTTGTTTGGTTTGGAAATTATTCGGCTGAAAAAGACGAACATCCACCTGTTTATATGGATGTTATAGGTAAAATGATTCGTTTAGGTTATCATATATTAGGATCAACTGGTGGTGGTGGAAATCCAGCAATTGGTGATAATCTGTCGACACATACATCACATTATATTTTTGTTCGAAAACGAGAATAAATGAACTAGGTTTTTTTTTCTTTCGTCTAATGAATCTATTAGTAGAAATCTTCTGTAGAAAAACACAAATACATATTATGTTGTCATTTTTCTTTTCTTTTATTCTCAGTTTGTATTCTTTCTTTTTTTTATTCATAATTAAAAAGAAATTCGAATGAATTTAAGGCTGGTTAATTTTATCTGCTAAAAGTAGATGATGCCATACATATTAATTGATTATATCGATGTATATGAAGAAAAAAAAGAACTTACACTAAACGAACAAGATAATGAACAACTTTGTTTGGTTCATGTGAACGATAAGCATCGAATAGTACATCTTGAAAACTAGAAAATAAATATTAAAAGAATAAATAGTTTTTTTTTCCATTGAACGATTGAACACATCAATAAAGTCTTTGTCTTAAATGAGGAATGTACTTAAATTAATTCTATAATCAAAATATTAATCTATAAAGTAAAATATTTTCAAGCATGCACATTATTTTTTTTTTGTATAAGAAAAACATCGTTTGTCAAATAGATTTTTTTAAAGATATTGTAAAGTTTTTTCTTACATCAATTAAGATTATGATATTTTTGGCTACTCATTAACTAAACAAACAATTAGTTGTTAAAAATATTTATTCATGAGACTGTGATTTTTTCATTTAAATAAAACTTCAAGTTAATATGACATTATTTTATCAGTCAACAGAATTCTTCTTACATCACGTCATATGATAAAGGGGTGTTGACAGATCATATCAATAGGATAAATGTTCAAATATTTTGATCGATGTTTACTATCAAATGACTTTGTAAACGTGTTCGATATAATATTTTGTTTTTTGGGTATAATTTCTAATTTTAACTTAAGTTTATATGTGACAGTTAAATTTCTATTAGAAAACTTTTAGCAACTTTCACATACTGGATAATTAATCGAAGACAGACAATAGTTATATTTAGAAAACAATGACGTCATCAAGCAAAAAGTCATTCCGTTCTCTTAAAAATTTTTCAAATAGTTACAAACATCGATACGAATTATTTATGCAAAGAAATTTATGAGAGTCATATTTACAAGCAATTAATGACTATTGATTACGATAAATAGAGATTATGAATCGAGTAACAACACTGAAAATAAAACTTTTTTTGTTGAAGATAATGTGAAAGTTTATGAGACAGAATAATCATTTGTTTTTATTGATTGTCTCTTATGTGGATTTCTTTTTGGAAGACTCGAAGTTGATCACTACTTAATAAAACCACTAGAGGCCCCTGTGAAGGGTTGAACTCAAGGGGGAAAAGCGTGACTCCTGGAGTGTGTACTCTCACTGTACTATCCTGTTCTACCACTGTATCCCCTGTACCTCCTCTGTGCTCCCCTGTACTATACTGTACCTCCACTGTGCTCCCCTGTACTATACTGTACGTCCACTGTGCTCCCCTGTACTTCCACTGTATTCCCCTGTACTCTCCTGTACCTTCACTGTGCTCCCCTCTAGTATCCTGTACCTTCACTGTGCTCCCCTGTAGTATCCTGTACCTTCACTGTGCTCCCATGTACCTCCACTGCGCTCCCCTGTACTCCCCTGTACTATCCTGTACCTTCACTGTGCTCCCCTGTATCTCCACTGTACTCCCCTGTACCTTCACTGTGCTCCCATGTACCTCCACTGTGCTCCCCTGTACCTCCACTGTTCTCCCTGTACTTCCACCGTATATCCACTGTACCTCCACTGTTCTCCCCTGTACTTCCACTGTATATCCACTGTACTCCCTGTACTTCCACTGTACTCCCATTGTATTGTGGGAGTACGGGAGTCTTGCCTTTTCCCCCTTGGTTGAACTTCAATATTATGGGAAAAATTTAATATTATAGGAGAAATTGATTTAATTTACATAAGAAGTTCCTGAATGAAAAATATAATATAGATGACTGACATATATATGCATAATGAATGAACATATACAACGTACATATATATGTATATTTTTTTTTCGTTCTCTGACCGATCATATGAAAGTTCCCGAAGAACTGAAAAACACTTGTACATTATAATATAGATTATGTTTGAGTGGCTACGTTGGATGCGGATAACTTAAATAATTAAGCGTAAAAAAATCTACGTGTGAGACTAGCGTTATGTTTGTAGGGACGATATCAAGCTATTAAATCTGCCACTAAGTCGAACCTTATACCACAAGACATCTGACACCTGGAAGTATTCTTTCTTCCATTAATTTATGTAACATTATAGCTACAAACTTATGAATGTTTGTAATGTTTAGTATTAAATTAAATCAGAATTCATATGCATTATGTTTTTTGTATATATAACAATATGTGTTAACATATTCTTCTTAATATAAAATTTTGACTATAAAAGATCTGTTGCGAATATATTTTCTCAAAGTTATTTTTATGTGAAAATGTGTTTTCTTACGTGCTCAATTGTTGTATAAGCATATGTTCTTGTCGATCTGTTAATAAATTAACATTTGCTGACCAGTCAATAGGCATTTTAACTTGTTTTTCCAGACTATAAAAAATAGATATGTATATTCAAAAGTTTTCAAAAACAAAAAGAACGATGTTACCTGCATAAGCGTGCATGACAATAGAGAAGTAAAAAAGCAATACCATCTTTTGATGATATTTCATGCCAAGAAAATACATAATCAGTACGTCGTGGACGTGAAAAATCATTTAAAATTAAATAAGCTTTTCCAATTACCTCAGATACTTTACCATGATCAATTCCTTCTTTACGAACTAAAATTAAAAGAAAACCAAAATGTTAACCCTTTATTTCCTATTGCTTCATTCTTAATTCATTCATATTGAGTCACATGAAAAATAATTTTTAGTCTAGAGTTATTTGTTGTTCGACGTAAATCTAGAAGATAACACGAACTTTATTCGAAAAGCTTTATCGAACCTAATAGCCAGTGAAAAAGCATTTTATTTTTGGATCCTTCTATATCTCCATAATTAAATAACTTCATCCAAATTTAACTATATGGATATCATGATTAGCATCTGTTTAAGCTATCCCCTTAATTCACACAGCATCTACTCTATTGAACGAGTGGCAGAGAGTCAAGAGTTGATAAAACAAAATTTTTCTATAGTATCAGAGCTTGAGGCGATTTTTCTACTGATCATTTTAGTGAAAACAAATAACTTCAACTTTCTTTTAGAAATGACGGTATTATGATCAAAATACTGAAAAGCGCGAAATAACTTTGAATGAATTTCTTGTAGTCTCCTGGAAGAGAAGTATTTGACTGAATATACATTGTAGTTATGTATTCTGATACTTTAGCCAACCAACAACTATTAGGAACAATAAATTTCGAATTAGTTTTGTCATTGAAATGAATAACCGTCCATATGTGATCAGCTGGGAATCAATCTCAATAAAGCATGATGAACAGCATTCATTATTAAACTAGAGAATTGCTTCTCCAACAGTCGATTCAAACATCAGAAGTCGATTGCCATTCAAATTTGACGCTATGGCGACATTCCCATCCTCTTGAGCTACGAAAGAAGTAATCCAATTTGTGCTATATACCAGCCAATGCAAATTTTTGCATCGAAAAATCCAGGCTTGGCCTCTCAAGGTCACCATCTGAAATACCAAATGAATAAATCATAAAAACGATCTTTTGACTGACTCTATTCGTCAATGTCAGCCTGAAAGGACCAAGATCGAGTTTTTTAGGCGAAAAGAATTATCCGACGGCTTTATTACATATAAATCTCACGAATAATATATAATTCAAATTGGATAGTTGCTTCCACAGGTCGGTCAATACGAAGAAATTTTTCCATACTTCTATATGTCATTCGATTGAGTAAAAAAAAGAGCTTTCATTTGGTATATAAATTAAAACAAAGAACCCGAAGACGAGAAACGCAGTGTCTATGTAAATACTGCATAATTTAACGTTATATGAGATCAATCATATCTCATTTTGAGTCAGCTGCACGCAACCAGAGTCCACTCTAACGGTCTAATTTGAACGACAATCGGCTTCTAGCATCTGAACAGACTATTGAGAAAATAAGAAACTGAATTTCGAGAAAAGATTGATGTTTTCGTTTAACAATACCCTCCTATGACATCTCTTGATCTAATAATAAATGCTGATCATTATGCTCAGTAACAAAACTATTCCGAAACACATTGTTTCTTATACTTATACGGCTAAAATATCAACTACAATGCATATTCAGTGAAATGCTTTTCTTTCAGAAAACTACACAAAAATTCATTTTAAGCTATTTTTCTGCTTATCAGTGTTATCATCATTTCTAAAAGAATTCCGAAAGTTACTCTTTTACTAAAATGATCAGTGAAAAAAGCTCCTCAAGCTCTGATACAAAAGAAAATTTTCTGCTTGAATAATATGTGTCATTTCTTGGTTGACTACCAAGACATCTTTCGTTTAATTATAAATTACTTAAAAATCGATCAAGTCCTTCTTTTGCTCGTTCTTTTGCATCATGAAATACATCAGATAATAAATCAAATTTTCCTCTTCGTGTTTGCAAATTAATCATACGACCGAATGGAACATAAAAATCATCTAAATCCCTAAATCAAACAAAAACAAAACTAATCATTGATATTTAGTTTTAAAATACATTCATAATATTCATACCAATTTTGTACTTGATCAAACTGCAGTGCTTTTGATATTGTTAATAAATTTCGAAAATGTTCTGTTTGACTAGAATCTACCTTTGCAAGAAACCAAGCATAAACAATCGATAATCTCATTCTAATCTTTTGATTCTTTTTTATAACTTACAACATATAATATTTGTTCAATTGGCAATGTTTCTAAACGTGATTTTAATGCAGCAATATCTCTAAATAATACTATAATAAAAAAAAACAAAGTTCAACAAAATTTTATCAAACTAACCTTGTAATATATAATGAAGTTCCATCCGATTTTTGGACAATAAAACAAGCATCTCGTGGTAAACTATTATA